AGGGCCGTGTGGTAAAAACGAGGCAGCTGCCGGACTCCTTAGCAAAGAGAGAACATGGCATTTTTCTTAAAGCTCTGCAAGGATGCAGAGTGGGAAGCCGGGAAAGAAGAGGGATAACGGAGCTGTGGGGGAGAGGGGGTGCCATGGCTGAGATCTGAGTCTGCTGAAATGCTGGGTGACCTCACATGGGCTCCCCTCCTTGGACCACTGCGTCTTTATACGCAGGAGAGGTTGACTCCGATCTGTGGTTCCCACATGGGGTCAGTCATCATGTGTCCATCCATCCATTCATCCATTCATTCAGCAAATGTTTATGAGCAAAAAGGCACACTGTGCCAGGCTCTATATCCCTGGGTATTCAGGGAGAATCCTCTGGAGAAAAGAGGCAAGTTCCCACACTCATGAAGCTCACATCCAAGTTCAGAAGACAAATGGTTAGCAAATAAACGTATAAAGTGGTCATTTCTAATAGTAACAAATGTCCTGGAGGAAGGCACTGCAGACTACCATGCTGGAGACAGTGAACAGAGGGGCACAGTCACATAGCAGGTCAGAGCAGGCCTCTCTGAGGAGGTGACATTTGGATGAAAGGAAGGAGGCGGCCTTGCAAAGACCTGCATGCCAGGTGGAGGGAACAGAAGGGCAAAGGCTCTGAGCAAGGGCCTTGTTCCATGTGAGGGACAGCGAGGAAGCCATGGGCCTCAAGCAGAGTAAGGGACGGAGAGAAGGGTGACAGATGGGGCCTCGAGTCGGGGCAGAGGCCAGGTCGTGCAGAGCCATCTAGTTCTGGTGATCGATTTGGACTTCTTCTTCATGCAGAAGAGGCGAGATTACCAGGGATGTTTCTTTAAGATGCTTGTTTCCTGGCTTCACCCCTTTGAGACTCATATTTATTATGGCTGGGATGGAACTGAGACGTCTGTATTTTTAGCAGCTTCTTGGGAGCCTCTGAAGGTGTGTGAGGTTTTGGAAACCTGGGACTACATGGTCTCTGAGTCTCTTTCAGTTTTAAGAAAGCAGAGAAGCAATGTGTCAGAACATCTTGAAAAGGGATCTTAAAAGTTCTATGATATTATGGAGATTTCCCTTCTTCCTTCCCTCTCAACTCCCTGCCTTCCAGGTAGAAGAATTAATCCTGGTTTTGTTTGGCTTTTCTTTGTTTTACTGCAAGATCCCAGATGAGGTACCTATGACAAGGAAGGTGCAGCCAGTGCTACAGAAAATGAGAACCATCCACCATGTCAGGGAGCGTCAGGTTAGAAATGCGGCAACTCCATCGTACCTTTCCTCCTCAAACCATCATCAGGACTTGGCCATCCCTGATGCCGGCAGTGATGGAGGAGGTGTCATCCTCACCTTAAGCCCTATCCCCCAGGGCCTCGCAGGAGCATTCTCCATCTGTCCCTGCACTGCTGACAACCCATGTCGGCACTGCCCCATCAGCGGAGGCCACTGAGACCTCCCACACAACACCAGCACTTACTCATCATGGATTCACTCACTGCCAAGTGGCTCACATCATTTTGTTGTTTGGTTTTGTTTTTGTTTTCTTCTCGAGGGCTTGCCTCTGATACAGCTTTGTGTGATGGTTTCCTATAAGGCCCCAGAGTCCAAAATTCCGTTCTTGTGTGGGTCCAGCTCAAGGCCCTCCTGGACAATACACATACACATTGATAAGTTTGCTGGCCACTTTTCTAAGAGAAACAGGATAGAAGAGAAGATGCGTTGACTGAGCTGAGTTGACCGAGGCATTGGCCGGCTTATCTCCACCAACTCTACTATGAAGGGTTTGCTTAGGCCATCTCAGAAGCCCTTTCTAACTTTTTGATACAAATGAATGTTCTTTTTCATTGATTCAGTGAGCAAATGTTGAGTCCTTACCAGCAGTGGGCTCTGGGACAGTGAGACACGGTCCTCCTCCCAGGGAGCTCGTAGTGCAGTGGGAGGGAAGGCAATCAGGCGTCAATAGTGCATATTTGGAGCTGCAGCCCTGGTAGCAAAGGGACTCTCACATCTTAGAACAGGGCTTACATCACCCCAGAAGTCTGCTCCTGACATCACCAACTCCATCTCATCAGTGGAGACTCCATCCTGCCAGTGGCTCATGTTCAAAATCCTTGAGTCATCCTTGACCCCCCTTCCTTTCCCTTACTCTCTCCCATCCCACGTTTAACAAGCAGCAAGTGATGCTAGTTCTGCTTTCAAATCTCAGCACCTGACAACATGTCATCATTTCCATCATGGACCCACTGATCAGAGCCTGGACAGTTGCTGCTCCTCCCTCTGTCCAGTGTCTTCAGCAACTGGAACAATCCTTGTAATATTTACATTTACGCCAGACCAGGTCACTCCCCTGTTCAAAAGGCATCCCTTCCCAGCCACAGAGTCCGATGACCTACAAGACCCGATCTCTGGTTTCCCCTCTTATCCCTCTAGCCCTGCTTGCCCTTCTTTATATGTATATAAAGATCCTGCCATTCCTTCTGCCTGGAGCACATTTCCCACATCCCGCAAATAACCTGTGTAGGACTTGTATATTACCAGACCACCACTTTCCCCCCAAATCTTTGTGGCTTAGAACAGCAACAGACAGCAGCTCAGCATTTCTGCGAGGTGGGAATTTAGCTGGGCAACTCCGGTCAACCATCAGACTTGAGACTGCAGTTCCAATGTTGGTCAGGGCCGCAGTGTCATCTGAGGCTTGACTGGGGCCGGAGGGTCCACCTCCAAGGCGGCATGCCTGCTTGGCTGCTGTGTGCTTGCTGTTGGCAGGAGGCCTCAGCTGTTCCTCACAGGGGCTTCTCCACAGGGCTGCCTGAGTGTCCTCACACCATGCCAACAGCTTCCCTCGAGTGATCAATCCACAGGGAGTGAGGCAGAAGCCGCCTTTGTGACCTAGTCTTGGAAGTCATGCGTTATCGCCTCTGCTCCCTTCTGGTCATTAAAAGTAACTCACTAAGCCCAGCCAGTATTCAAAGGGAGGGAAATTAGGTTTCATCTTTTGATGATAGGACTGTCAAAGAATCTGTGAACACATTTTTAAAACCACCACAGACTGCAAGGGTAGACCCTAATCCTTTAAGCTTCCATCCTGTGACTTCCTCAGAATGGCCTTCCTGACACTCCGTACGAAAGAAAGGTCACCCCCTCCCATTCCACTGGCTTATTCTCTTATTTATTACCATTCAGTAAGTCATATTATTACTTCCGTATGCGCTTATACCTGCTCCCCCATCAAAATGTAAACTCCATTATCACAGAGTGCATCTCCCTCTTATTCATTACAGCCCTACTCTTACAACTGGCCTGGACAGAGGTTAGTCCAGGCCAGGTCAAGCATGGGAAGAGGCAAGCCTTGCTGGGGACTGGGCAGACATTGCAAGCTCAGAATAGTTTGAGAAGAGCCAGGACAGCATTCCATCCACATGAATAGACTGGAGGCATGGGAATGGAACCGTCTTAGTAGGAGAAGCAGGGCAGGAGGTATATAGGGAAGCCTGGAGTTCTGGAAGCCCAGGGGTGGCAGTGAGGCTGTCTGGACAGCCCTGACAAGAATCTCCATCCCTCCTGGGCTTGCAGCCTCTCTCAGCTCCGCTTCTGAAGATGCACTGATAAGCAGCTGACAGAGATGGATGTGTTTTGCTCCCCTTCCTTCAATATTGACTGGGTTTGGCCTGCTTTCCAGGCGGCCCTAAGGAGCAGGGGGCTTATCAGATACATTCATCCTGAGTCATAAAACCAGTCTTGATGCACTGACTGCAGGCGCTTGGTGCAGGAGAAATGCTAACGCCTTTGATCAGGGCTTGATCTGGACTCTGTAGTCAGGGTCAGGAGGAAGGGAAGTTTGCGGGCAGCGCCAAACCCACCTGTGCCTCTCCAGCTCCTGACTCCTCTTGGTTGGGGGGCCAGGAGGTATGAGTGACCGTGTTTTCAAAGACTGAGTACCTAGGCGACTTCCTTCCCCTTTCCAGACTCAAAGTAGGAGGTGGGACTCAGGTAGTTTCCTAGCATTGCCTAGGGCTCTTTCTCAGAGGTAGAGGGAATTTCAGGCCTTCATGGGGATCACATCTGAACTAGGTGTTCTTATACGTGCTGAGGACGCCAGAGTGGAGGTTTGGTTCACAGGGAAGTAAAGGGAAATGGAACAGCCTTTTATTTTCATAACAATTCAACAATATAAGGACTAATGTTATTCCCTGTCTTAATCACTGAATAACTAACTTCAAGACAGAGAAACTGAGTCCTCTATCTACGAAACCGTGAACATAGTGTTTGAATCCAGGCATCTCCATTCCATACAGAGATAAGACAGGGAAATGGGATGGAACAGGCGAAGGGGAGTTGGGACTAATCCTGTCACCCTTCAGCCTCCATTTATGTTTTGAGCAAGGAAGTGAAACACGGTTTCCAGCCTCTCCCTGTTGTTTAGTCAGGATAGGCCAGGCAACACCGCAGTAACAGATAAACCCCTAAGTTTCAGTGGGTTAACCTGACTAAGGCTTATTTCTAACATGCAAAGTCTGATGTAGCTCAGGCATCTCTCCTCCCCCAGGTAGCTTCACTTTAAGGGTATGTGGCCTCCAAGGTCATTGCAACAGAGGGAGAGAGAGCTGGAGAAGGCACACAGTCCTTACTGCCTCAAGCCAGCAGTGACACATGTCATTCCCACCCAGAGACCAGTGGCCTGAGATACTCTCTTGTGGTTCCAACCTAACTGCAAGGAAAATTGGGAAATATTAGGATGTGTGTGAATGCATGATGAGCCTTAAGAATCTGGGGGCAACAAGAGGCTCAGTCGGTGAAGCATCCGACTCTTGGTTTCAGTTCAGGTCATGATCCCAGGGTTGTGAGATGGAGCCCTGAGTCAAGATTCTCTTTCTCCCTCTCCTTCTGCCCCTCCTACCTCCACTCATGTGCTGCTCACTCTCTCTCTCCCTTAAAAAAATAAAAGAATCTGTCATATCCTAACAGTTTCTGCCTCTTTATTTGTTCCCTTGTAGGACAGAACCCCAGAGCAGTCCTCTGGTTCCAGCTCAGGATGGACCCTCAGAAAAGCTGAGCCAGCATCTGGCCACCGAGGCCTTGGGCACCAACTGCTGGGAGAGAGACAAGGCCTGCCGGGAGCTCATTCCTGCCAGAGCACGCAGGTGAGACGCTGCCCCCACCCGCTCTTTGGTCCAGTGAGGAAGTTCAAGTTGAGGATGCAGAAATGAAGTTTGGCCACTCTTCCCACCCACTTTTCTTTTGCAAGTTCCTCTTCCAGACCCTGAAATCCAATCAAAAGTCAGCACATTTTTTGTCTGTAGGGTACCAGATGGCAAATATTTCAGGTGTGAGGGCCAGATGGTTTCTCCCACGACTACTCAACATCCCACCATTATAGCACCAAAACAGCCACAGACTATATGTAAACAAATGGGCATAGAGGTGTTTCAATAAAACTTTATGTATAAAAATAGGAGACAGGCTAGATTGGGCCCTGGGGGCCACAATTTGTTGCTCCTGCCTTAAATGATAGAGCTAGTTCCTGTCCATTTTAATGACTCCACGAGCCACTGAATTCCAGGTCATGACTTCAGCCCACAACTGTCTGCATTCATTCCTGACATCCAGGGTTGCTTGAGCACCCACTAGTGAAGGGCACTGTGCTGATACCTGAAGACAACATTTTACTGAGGCTCAGAGAGGTAACAAGACTTGCCCAAAATAAGGCAGCCAGTAAGGGGCAGAGTGAAGTTTTGAACTATGGTCTCTCTGATCTTAAATCCTAGACCAACACCAGCCACATGTTACTTTGATGCTAATGAGAAAAACAATCTATCCCCTGACTTCTATTTTTAAATTTTACACCGTGCACATATAAAGCCTAGTCTGTCTTTGGCCTCTGGAGAATCGATTTTGTTAACAACACCATCTTTATAATCAGGTTTCACCAGCTGTTTGGAAGCTTTATTCCTACTCCTCAAACTAACTCAGCACCCTCTTGCTGCCCGGGACTTGTATCTACCCCCTCCATGACAGGCAGGAAATGAATTTAGTGTCCTTGCCAGCAGTGTGTCCCAGATACAACCCCTGCCTATTCCTGTTGAATCAGATGGTGTCAAAGCCATTTTTCAGATGTGGAAACTGAGGACAGTATGTGGTAGGGTCAAGATTAGTCTGAGGACCCCGATCTGGTCCAGATTCTCTTACGTGTCCTAGAGTTCTCGGTTTTCGAGGGCAGAGGTTCTAAACCCATTTGAAAATTACATGGAAGCTAGAAATGCTGCCCCCAGGGAAAGTGTATATGCTCCAGGAATATTCCCCAAATTCCATCTACCATTTGAGAATTCCTAGACCCCCAAGGCCCATGAACAGGCCTGTCTAGTTAAGAACCTTAATTCTGAAGAAGACCCACTCTCTGACGTGATTAAAAAAAAAAAAAAAACCAGCATCATGGTGATAATGTTAAAAGTAAACATAAAAGTCACTTGGCATATAATCAATGAATAAACGGTAGTTGTGTTATTATGCATAATTATAATATTAGAAAGGACATTTACATGTATGCTCCATGACACATCCGGGGCACATCCCATGAGTGAGGTCCTCATTTCTTAGACACAGGTATCATGTTTTGTTTCTATCTCCCAAATCATGAAAATGATACTCAGGTCGCTGAGCTAGGAGGTTGGAGCAGGAACGTAAATCCAGATGTGGCAGCTTCTAGAACCAGCATTCTCTACTGCCATGTACTCTGTATTTTGGACCACCGCATACTGAACCGCTCTAGGGCATCACTGCATAATTAATGGCTGCCTATTTCCCTGCTCCTTATGTAACCACAGTCTACTTACTTAGCCACTCACCTGGCTCCTCCAGCACTGCTGGGACGGCACACCTAGGCACACAGGTACAGGAGGAAGAAAAAGGCAGAGGAAGTGCAGACCTACCTAGATAAAGGCATTTGGGATCTGTGGAAGGGGTTGATTTTCCCTTTCTCAAACCTCAAATCTATCCCAATTCAAGGTCTTTTCTCCATTTTACCTGATCACTCATGTAGGAGTATCAGACAGTAGTTCCCAAACCTGCTTCCCTGGGAACCCTGGCATTCCAGAAAGCAGTGAGAATAATTGTCTGAAACAATGAGATCTCTCTATTTTAGAAGACGCAGTTTTGTTTTGTTTTAAAGATTTTATTTATTTATTTGACAGACAGAGATCACAAGTAGGCAGAGAGACAGGGGGCGGGGGGAGCAGGCTCCCCGCCGAGCAGAGAGCCCGATGCGGGGCTCGATCGCAGGACCCTGGGATCATGACCTGAGCCGAAGAAAGAGGTTTTAACCCACTGAGGCACCCAGGAGCCCCTAGAAGACACCGTTTTAAGGGCTTTTTTTTTTTTTCTTAAGTATTTCTCCCTTAATTTTTTTTTTTTTCCTTGCAAATTCCTGGCAACAGTTACCCTGGGAAGTGTTTATGTGGCACAAGAAAATTTAACAAGAGACTAAATTATTTCATCCACTCATTCCCTCCTTTGGTCACCCAACAGGCATTTAGTGTCGAGCACTTGTTGCCAGAAAAATCTGGATGGGGTCTACTGCATTTATGCCACCAGCCTGTACCCTTCCTGGCTGCGTGTGCTGTTCTTCGTGCTTTATAACACATGAGTGTAGTACAGAGCTAGGGACTATTTTATTTTAACCTGTTTAAAGGGACTCCCTTAAAAATGTTCTCCATATAGCTAGATGATTTTTTTTTAGATTTTTATTTATTTATTTATTTATTTGACAGAGAGAGAGAGAGATCACAAGTAGGCAGAGAGGCAGGCAGAGAGAGGGGTGGGGAGAAGCAGGCTCCCTGCTGAGCAGAGAGCCCAATGCAGGGCTCAATCCCGGACCCTGAGATCGTGACCTGAGCTGAAGGCAGAGGCCTAACCCACTGAGCCACCCAGGCGCCCCTAGATGATTTTCATTTACTGGCAATGCAGAAACCTTCACATACAGTCTGTTCACTTGGGCACTTTTTTTTTTAAACTAACCATAATGATCCAGAACCTTAGAATGGAATTCAATATGGCCATATCACATGATGGTCTTGAAAGTGCTGGGCAATTTCCAAATGGATGTCTGCATAACCAGGTTCGAGAAGGCCCTTGATTGTGTGGGAAAGCCCTCAGGATGGGACTCACTGAGGCCTTCCCTGAAATCCCGGCTCAGATGCTCCCTCACTGGGCAGCTCTGGGCAAGCCGGTTCAAGGTTTGGTGCCTTATGGTCTTCACCTGTGAAATGAGACCCTGAGAATCGTACCGCCCTCCAAGTGTTTTTGTGAGTATAAAGGTAGCGTCAAACGCTTGGCATGTAATAAATTAAACGGTAGTGGCGTTACCACCAATAATGACAACAGTTTTCTTATGAATATTACGTTTTCCCGGTCAGGTTCAACTGGGAGGGCACGTTTCTCTTCCTGAGCAGTTTTTCATCCCAAACCCATCTCCTTTTGCCATGGGATAGTGTTTTTTAAAAAATCCCTGAAGCCTGCCCCAATTATAGAAGGAGATAAGTTGACTTCATTTAACGGCAGCCTGGGCATTTGAATTTAATTGAATGGGAAATAATTATTCCTGAAGAGCAGAGGTTTTTGAGGTTCTGTGAAGCAATATAAGATATGTATCTCATTACATTAGACCTCAGCAAATACACTTTTAATAATCAGCTGCTACTTAACATAACTTCCTCTTCCTATTAAATTTCTAGCAGGAACTGTGGACACGAAGTGTTGGGAAAAGGGGGGGCGCTGAACTGCCGATTAATTATTTAAAAAGTGATTTATTTACCAAGGTGAGCCATTTGCAAGTTCAATAATAAATCTATTAAGGAGCAGTTAACCTCTGTAACTCTATTTTAAATAATCAATTGGTGTTTGGGTAACAGTGAAGCGTCTGTCTCATTAGGTCGGCATTAGCTCCTTATTTGAGGCACTTAATCTAAAGGATGGCCAAATCAGCCCTGAGATGGTAATTCGGTATTCGCCATGGGTCCTTCATCCTCCGAGGAACTGGGTCCTTCTTCCCTGGCTGCGACAGCCCAGATTGGGGTCTGGGAGCATCCTGGGTCCTCTAACACCCACCTCTGTGCTCCCCACAGTGCCTCCCGCCACAAAGACTTGACACCACCACCTTCCTCCAGGGGGAAGAAGAAAAAGAAGAAATCCACCCGGAAGAAGAGAAGGAGGTGAGCATCGTAAAGGAGGATGAAACCTTGAGGATGGGGGAGAGGACAAAATAGGGGTCCAGTGGGTTTCAGAGTCAAACAGTGACTCCCCCTGAGTTCGAATTCCCACTCTGCCTCTTAACTAGCTGCGTGACCTTAAGCAAGACCCTTCACCTCTCTGCGCCTGTTTCCACTTATATAAAATACTAGTAGTAACTATCTCCTGGCATTTTGTGAGAATCAGATGGAGAAAAATGGATGTGGAAGGAGCTGTCACAGTGTCTGGCACATCGTAAATGGCAAGTGAATCAGCATAATCAAGACCATGAATGTTGATTTTTTTTTTTTTTTGAGAACTTAAGCTTGGTGATCTCAATGATGTCTTTCACCTTTGACTATGATTTACCAGACAAACAGTATTGTCCCCATTCAGAGAGGAGAAAAGAAAGGCACAGGGTAGAGGGTGACAGGATTTACAGGGATCCCGGGCACGACTGTTGATTCTGCTATTCCCACCTAACAGGTGAATGCCAACAGTAACAAGCGGACACTATATTTTTTGCCGGCAGTGGACTGTTGTGTACCCCATTAATTTTTTTTCTATGTAAAATTCCTTTTAATTTTTTTTAAATTTAAAAGTATTTCCAGATTTTCTGTCCAGTGTTCCAGACCCAGAGGGGTGGGTTTGGGGGAGGCAATGTTTGAAGAAGCCTGCAGGGGGCAGCAGAGAGCAGTGTCTGGATGACTCGCGCCCCAACTTGCTTTTCCTGGTTTCTGCCATTTCCACACTCCTTTAGCCTGGTTGGAAGAGGACGGGCCCAAAGAAGACCAAGAAGGGAATGTGAATGAGGCCCCTATGTTGTAGGGTGACGGGAGGAATTGGGCCAAGTGGCTTGAGGTTCCTGATTTTAGGGCTGGGCAGAACATTTGAAAGAAGGAAGTCAGGCTTTACTAATTCAATTGTTCATTCAGTAGATGTCCACTGAGCACGTGTTTGGGGACAGATGTGGTGATTTCCTAAGAGTCAGGTTGTTCTGAACCCTGTGTTTCCCCCTGTAGATTTGTTATGTTTGACCTACAAGGTGTTCTTTTGTCTTTCCAATTGGTGGCCGACATTTAAAAACCAGGGGATTTCACATGAGTTGTGTTTTTCTGGTGGCCTCTCTTGAAAAGGCAGGTGTTCCAGAAGCCCAGGGCTGCATTCCCACACAAGACCTATGGCTGATCGGAGAAGCATATGCTCTCTGGTTTGCCACAGTCCCCACTGCTTCCTATTGTGTCAACCCAGCCTGCTCTCTGAGAGGCCTCTTTTGGCATCCTCACTTATTTCAACCTTAGTGTTTTGTCACTGGGGAAATAAGAGACCCAGAGATGGGCAGGGACATGCCGAAGGTGACTTCATGAGTTGGGGGTTCAGTCAAGATTGGAACTCGGGTCACTTGAACCTGTCTTGAATCAGAATCAGAATCATGGTCCTGGGGTGGCTCTGTTTTTTGGGGAACCCCTGAGAGCACCATGCTGACCACTTAAGGGCCCAGGGAGCTAGGGTAAGGCAGAAGAAAGACCTAAAGCATCTGAGAGGAGGCACATGGCTGGGAGGAAAAGAATAGACACAAAATATTTGGCCTGACCAGGAGGGATGATAAAGGGATTGAGACCAAGGCCCCTGTCATCCATTTGAATCTCGGCTCAGCCACTTCCTGGCTGTGTGTGTCTTTGGGCAAGTCACTTTACCTCTCTGAACCTCCCTTTCCTTGTATGTAAAAGGAAGGTAACCGTCAGGCCTGCCTAAGAAGCATGTGGAAAGATAAAGTGAGATAATGCATGTAAAGCACAGAGTGATGTTGGGGAATAATGCAAATCTGATTATAGCAAATCAATAAATGCAAGTACTGATAATATCAGGATTGATGTGCTCCTTGTGTGGGAGACCCTGTGTGGGGGCTGGAAGAAGGGTCGCTGAAGCCAACCCTGGTCCTTAAGGAGCTCCCACTGAAGGTGTCTTCTCCCTCCTCAGGTCCCCGTCATATAGTCCATCGCCTGTCAAGAAAAAGAAGAAGAAAGGCTCCAAAAAACATAAGCGACACAGGTATTATCCTTCTGCCTTGGCAAACGGGGACGCCCCGGGGTGGGTTGGGGGTTAAGGGAGATTGGGTGGCACCGGAAGTTCACTGGTGATAAGCTTATCATTTCACTTAGTAAGATACTCATCTGTGTGTTGGTATTTCCTTTTCCTTGTGTAACTTGGAACTCTGGTTGCAAGGACCCGCGGCCCCCTAAAGCTAACTCTGGCCGGAAAGGGGTTTGTTTGATGATAAGGAGACAAGAACGTCTCAGGGACCAGCCAGGCCCCAGTGAGGATCTAGAACCAAGGAGTGGGGAGCTGGTAGCACCCAGGGAAAATACACAGTCCCTGTCCCCCATGGGGAGACCCGGCTGCCCCCGGTGCCCCTCCCTCCATGTGGCCGGCGCAGCCACAAGACAGTCGAGCTATCTTGTTTGTCCCTCATGCCAAATTCCCAAGGTCCAACTCTGTGTTTGGACCAACTTGTCCTTGAGGATGGGATCATGTAGACACGGCTTCTGGGATTATACACCCTCGTGGGTGCTTGTTAAGGGGCACTGTGAACTGGACACACATTCCAAAAGGTGCCCACCGTGCGCAAACACACAAACACACACACACACACAGACACACGTGTATGGGGAAGAAAGGACTAGAAGGATGTACACCAGAGGACTCATATCTGTGGTCCATGTGCCGACTCAACATTTTATAATTGGGAGATGGTGCAATGAAAAACAAGTTTTCTAGTTCTTCTGTAAAACCAGCGGCTGTCTTCACTGGACCGATTTTCCCACAGGAAGCCATCTGCGAGGCTGAGCGGTTGCCGTGCGTGTAGACAGCGTAGCTGCTGTGCTTTGCTAGGGCCCCACTAAGTCCCCCTCAGTGACGAAGCCTGCTGGGCCCCTGGGGGCAGGGAGTGTGAAGTTTCCCCCTGTAAGCTGTTCCTGTGCTTGGCCGCAGATGCCAGGGAAAGAGTGGTGCGTGTCCCCTCTTTGCTCAGCCCTGTCTTCCAGTCTCCCTCCGTCGGTGCTGGGTTGCTTGTGCCCTGAGACAATCACAGGGGAACAAAAGGTCAAGGTTCGCTGGGGTATTCCCCCTGCTTCTCACCCCTGGTTCAAAGTTGCCCCAAAGTGGCTTTTTCCAAGCCGGGGTGTGGTCATGTCTCCGCCCCTGCTGCCCGAATGGTCTCAACTCAGTTTGGTTTCACCTGCCATGTCCGCTGCCCGCCCAGACATTTTAGCTGATGCCGAATCTGTGCTTGACCCAAGACGGGGGCAAGTCAAGGAGCAAAAGGTTGTTAACGTGGTGTTAGAAACCTTTCCCAACGCGGGATTCCCCTGTGGAGGCAGTGGCCTGCCCGTGACTTAGACTGCCATCCTGTCACCTTCCTATGCTGACGGATCAGTCCCAGTTTGGGGGGCTTTTCCATATCCTGTTGCAGAACTCAAGTGGCTTCTCAGTCTAGGGTTTCTCCTCATGAAAAAGAGACTTTTTCCGCCAGCCACAGCCAGCCCCGGAGGTGGAGAGGGAAGGAGACCCTTAAATAGGAGATTAGGAGGGGGAGAAACTGTTGCTGATCTTTTCCAAAGTGCCTGCTGGGCACCACCTCCCCCCCCCCACCCTTCTCCAAGGTCTTGAGACACTGGGTTAATGATAGTTGGCTTGTTTGAAGATAGAGCTAGGGGTGGGGAGTGCATAGAGATTTGTCTTTTTTTCTCCTCTATTAGCATGACTTCAGGGCTTAAAAAAAAAAATCCCATTTTTACATCTATTTATTAAATACCCAGTATGTGTCATGAATAAGGAATCCGGGCCCCAGGAACAGAGCAGTGACCAAAATCCAGCCCTTGAGTGGCTCACGTTTAGTCGGGGAGATGCATAATTATAACATGCAGAGGTGTGTGTTACAAGGCTAAGCTCAGACACTCACCCACGCTTTCAGAGCAGAGAGTGGGTGCCCAGCCAGGCTGAGGGGATCAGAAAATGCTACAAGGAGGTGAATGGAACTCTGAAGAATCCACAGGAGTTACCTGGGCAAAGCTGTGTGACCTTGGGCAACTTAACTAACTTCTCTGAGCTCCGGTGTCTATGAAACGGTTGTTAGTAGAACCACAAGGGTTTGGATGAAGACTGAGTGGCATTGTGTGTGAGAGGCGCTTTGCACAAAGCCCGGCACACAGTGAACGTTCCACATGGGGGTGCTGGTTGTCCCTGACGATGAGGAGGGTGGTGTTGAAGAATCCAGTGGTAGGGAGGGAGAGGTGAAGGTGAGATTGGGGGTCAGGGAGGACGCAGAGGACTCCCGTATGTCCACCCCGCCCCCGCCCCGTCCACCCCCATCCGAGACAGGCTCACAGACAGTTTGAGGTGAGGATGAAAGCACTGGTCGTTTTGGCTGGAAATTCAAAATGCAAACCACTGTCTCCCATATGGTCTACACAGTCTGAAATCTGAGAGAGGAGGATTCGCCAGGTATCTCGACCGACCCCCATGTCGCATGATCACAGACGCACTGATACATTTGTCCCAGGAAAAAAAAAAAAAAACAAAAAACCTCAGCTCACCTATGTTTATTGTCTTCTCTCTCTGCCTGTCTCCCTCCACCCCTTTTTTCCTTCCTCCTCCCTCCCTGCCCTCCCTCCCTCCCTCTCTCTCTCCCTTTTAATTCTTTAATCAGGTCATTCTCCAAGAAGAGAAGGCACAGGTAAGAATCTTTTCGCCTCTGGCTGCTTGCTTCTCTTTCCTGCTTTCCTAAGAAGGTTTTAGGCAGCTTCTGGGGTGTGCTTCTATGCACGCCCCCTCCTTCTTCCTGGGCCTCAGTTTCCTCCAAGATGGGCTGGTTTCTCTGAGAGTTCCCAGCCAGGTTTTGACTTCCGTCAGGTCAGATGGCTGCTCCTTGACCAGCCCCTGCCGATGCTCCTTCCTGGAAAGTCTCACTACCCTGGTCAGAAATCCTGGATTGGAGCATGTCAGGAAACCTCAGCCCAACCCCCCATCCTGCCAGAGCCTCCCCAGATCCTGGCCAAGGGACAGAAGCCAAGTCTGACTGTATTGGAAACACCAAGTGAGCACAAATCGAGCTGTCGTCGACGGGGTCCTCGCTATAAATCGGATCCTGCACTGGGCCCTGCGCTGTGTGCGTGCGTGTTGAATCTCTACTGATCTCCCTCGTAACCCAGCACAGTGGCTATGTTTATTATTCCCATTTTACAGATGAGGAAACTGAGATTCAGGCAGGAGGTGTGACAGGTGTGTCCACAAACACAGGCAGGCGGCAGAGCCAAAACTCAAGCCCAGATCCATCAGACAGAGGATCGGGACTCCCTATGGTGGCGTCTTAAGTAAGAGCCACATCTGGAGCAGCTGGCCGACTGCAGAGCCCTTCTGTTTATCCAGTTAACAGGTAGAGGGTGATCACCAGTGTCACATCCTCTCAGCCCAGCAGCTTGAGCAATGGTGCCACTTCACAGTCCAAGAAACCCGGTCTTCCGAGGACAGGTCGCTTGCCTGTGTCCCACAGCGACTGAGCGGCAGAGCTGGGGCGGGAACCTGGATCTTTCAGTGAGGTTCCGGGCTCGTCCACTGCCTAGGCTGAGTCTCAGACGTGGAGAGAAATCACACAGCTAACGTCAAGGTGCCGTTTCAGTCGGATGAGTTGGATGAGGTTTTCCCCTTCTCTGAGGCCCGTTGTGTGTTCTTGGTGGACTCTCTGAAGCCAGTAGAACCAAACAGCGTCCACCCCCTGGGGCCTCTAGCGGATGATGCTGGGACCCCGACTCATCACTGTCCACCGGACCCATACCCCAGCCCTCTGACTTAAAAAACAAAAACGGGTAGTTAAATATCTGTGTGCGGAACATTTCTGCATCTGCCAAGCTTCGAGAAGCTTCCGAGCGTCTCCCTGCATATCCCATTTTTCTCCCTTACAAATTGATTGAATATCAGTCAACAGCATGGGCTCTGGGGACCCATGGGCTGGGGCCACATCCCAGCTCCCCTGCGTGATCCTGGCCAAGTTTCTTAGCCTAGCTGAGGCTCAGTTCCCCCATCTGTAAAACAAGTACGTATTAAATGTGCCTCTCCCCATAGCTTGCAGGGAGAATAAAACAAGATTGCTGACAAAAAGTAGTTAGCAGAGTGTTCACTTGTAAGAAGTCCTCGAAAAATGGCAAGTATTACTTTATTTACCACTGTTCTTATTAAGCTGCCGAAGCTGGCCGTGGCCCTCAGCACACCCCCTTCTCAGTCCGTGCGTGGGTCCGTGTCCATAGCTGCCCCTGCTGGGTGGAGAAGTCAGCATCAGTGACTGTTCTGGTCTTGGAAATGATGAGCAAGTCTGTCCCCAAATTGCCCGGATCCGGTGGCCACTGTGTGTTAAGCATTTTCACTACTTGTTTCTTTTTATCTGTAACTGGAGTTTTGCATCTTTCATTAATTGGCCTTTTCTCCTTTAGCTCCTCCAGCCCAAAAAGCAAAAGGAGGGATGAGAAGAGGCACAAAAAACAGTAAGTAGAGACCCCCTAGAGCAGTCCCTCCAGTTTGGGGAGCGGGGGAACCTAGCCTCTTAACAGCTGGCGTGTTGGAGTTGCCGAAGAAACAGGGAGAGCGAGAAGGGACGGGGGCGAGAGTTCTAAGCGGACAGAGGCAGGGAGAGACAGAACCGAGCGACACACTGCAGCTGGGGGTCTGGGTACGTGTAACTGCACAAGGCCGCGTATGCGGTGTGTGTGCATGCGTTTGTGGGTGCGTGGAAGCGAGTGTCATGCATCTGTGTGCCTGGCGGGCGTCACGTAGATATCTTTGTGGAGAATGTGTGTAGTACGTGTCTTGTCTGTAGATCTCCATACATTTTCCACCCTGCAGACATCTCTGTGACCGTGGATACGAATGTGTGCCGTGGGTGTGCTATGCACTTGTGTTCACACGAGTGCGTTCTGTAGGTTCCTGCTTATGGGAGCACAGAGGCAGTGCACGGAGGTGCTGATTCTCTGCACGGTGCGTGTGTACTGCTTCCTGACCTGTGTGCGTTAATGCATAGGGAGGGTGGGTGTGGCTTTTCCCGGTGCACACAGGTGTGCCGCGGCTGCGTGAGTGGTGGCAGGGGCATGATCACGTGCAGGCACAGGCGTGAGTGTGCATGTGAGTCTGAGCCTGGGCTGCTGGGGCGTATAGCATGGAGGGGGCAGTGCAGCTCCTACCCCTGGTCTCGTGGCCCCAGCTGGTTCACGGTTTACGGCTGGTAGTAGAAATTCAAATCAGCTAGCGCTGCCTGCAGAGTTCAGTTCCCAGAGAAATTAAAAGTAAATGCGGTTACAACCCACCTACTTTATACCCTGCAAATGTTAGTGCATGTGTTTTCCAATCAACTAATATTTTATCTCCCGCCAAGAAGCTTCTAAAGTAAGGATCAAAGGCAATACGATGAAAGGTGGTTGGCTGCTGGGGAGGGAAAGGAAGAGACAGGGATGCAGAGGGAGGGCAACCTGCTTTGCTGCCTAAGGGTCACTTCATCCAAGGTCAGTGCAAAGGAGGACATTTGAGCCACCCCCACAGGGGGTCTGGGGAATGCTCCAGAAGGAAGCAGTAGAGCTTTGAATTAGCTCAGGGAACAACTTCCTGATCATCAAACTTGTTCAGTTCGAGTGCAGAAGGCAATTATTGGTCACACGTATTGAGTGTGCATTCACACTAAGCACAGACAGAATGTGTGTTCTCAGAGATCTCCACATTACTTGTCCAGTGGGGCTGTGCTATAGACAGAGCCAAGGGATAGACTCGGACTCCAAGAGCTCGGGCGGAGGGGGCGGGGCATCATCGCTGAGGCAGGGACTGTCTGCTTGAAGGCAGCAAGGTGGCCACCCTCCCCAGTGCCAAGAGCTGGATGAGTCCCAGAAATTGCTAGGTTACGTAAGCCAAAGACAGGCGTCAGGAGAGGGAAGAGCGAGAAAAACAAGGCGCCGCTAGCATAAAGGATGGTTCTTCTCACGGAGTCCCGTGGTCGCACCTACTTCTTAACGAGCAGTCGCTGGAGAGATTTAGCCTCCTTGAATTCAACATCCCGTAGAAGGCCCTAAGACATGACAGGCCCTGGGCTGGGCCCAAGGACAGAGATTAGCCAAATATTCTTCTGGACTCAAGGAGCTCACAGTTCCCAGCGGCACACAGGAGACAGACATGGTACAGTCACAGCCCAGTGGGGGGCGCCGGGAACCCAGGGCACCAGGGCCGCTGTGGTGTTGAAGAGGGTGCTTGGTGGTCAGCAGGGGTGCCCTATGGGAGGAAGGGTCTAGACAGAGAGTAAGGATGGAGGTAGCCGTTCTCAGCTGCAGATGAGGCAAGTAGTTTAAACTCGGTGCCTCAGTTTCTTCATCTGGGAAATAAGAGAACCCGCTCCATAGGTTGTTGGGAGGAAAAGATGGGTCCGTTTAAGAAAAATACTGGACTGGGTGCCTGGGTGGCTCAGTGGGTTAAGCCGCTGCCTTCGGCTCAGGTCATGATCTCAGGGTCCTGGGATCGAGCCCCGCATCGGGCTCTCTGCTCAGCAGTGAGCCTGTTTCCCCCTCTCTCTCTGCCTGCCTCTCTGCCTACTTGTGATCTCTCTCTCTGTCAAATAAATAAATAAAATCTTTAAAAAAAAAAAAAAGAAAAAGAAAAATACTGGACTGTGGTGCCAGCAGGCAGTATGTGTTAGATGCGGGCTCCCGTCATCGTCACCATCACAGGGACGTCGTGAGGTGGGACGTGGAGGAGCCAGAGTACAAGCAGTTCGGACTGGCTTGAGTCTGCCCAGCCAGGGCAGGAGAAGTCATGCAAGGAAGTTAGAGAGTTTCATGGGGGCTGACTCCTTGGGGTGCTTGGGGTTCAAGATGAGAGTGCAGATTTGAAATGAGAGCAAAGGGAAGGTTCTAAGCAGAGAAGGAATATGGTTTGCTAATCACGTTAACAAGAACCCCTGAGTCTGTGTTGGGATAGCGAGGCTGCCCTGCCGATAGAGCCCTCTCTAACTCCCACTGGCTTCCTGCCTTGGCCCAAATCACTGACATTCCTTGTTCATCCCCAGTGACTACTGCCTCTGCTGCTACTACTTCTGAGTCCTTATTATCATTCAGAGGGGAGCAGAAGTAACCTGTGATAAAACCATTAGTAGCCCTGGTCATTGTTCATTGTGGTTAGTATTTTTGTTTGCCAGTGATGTTGTAACCCTGGAAGTAGGCTTTTAACTCCATGTGAGGAAGACGGACTTAATTTTCCAGGTCTGAGGTTATAAATTGGCAGCCCAAAGGCCTCATTTACTCTGCAAATGTGTTTTCTTTTCCCCCAAAGTGTCTTTTAAAAAAGAATGAGCTTCCATTTAAAATAGAAATGTTTTATAGTAAAAAAAAGTCTGTATTTCTACATTCACTTGAAAAATTAGAAGATCTAACACCAGTCCAATATTCTGGAAGCACAGACACTTGTTTCTTGAGCTCTCGCCTGAGTCACACATTATGGTAGCTGACTGAGACAGACTCCTGCTTCCAGCAGGGAGAGAGGTGACTAGTGGAAGTGACACTCCTATCCACGTGTGCTCGCCATCAGGGCTGCCTCGGCCGGGTGGGAGGCTGAGTCACCCAGGCCGGCTCCTCCAGAGGAAGCCTTGCCACTCACTCATGCTTGGTACGGCTGGTTGGAGCCCTTGAACGCCCAGGGGAAGAGCTGGGGTGATGTGGGGTTGGGGGCATGTACGGGGGATGCCCAACTCTGGAGGGACAGTGACTTGGATGCAAGAGGATGATGTGTGCCACAAGATCAAAATCTGTCTCTCCCTCTTTCTCCCCCTCCCCTTCTCCTCCTTTGACTCACTCCCTGTCACCCCCTCCAAGATCACGAAGCCGGCCCCGAAAATCTCACCGTCATCGTCATCACCATTATCCCTCGCGGTCGCAGAGCTCCGAGTCTCGCTCCTCAAGCTGTGAGAGCAGGTAAGCCCTTCTCTGCGGGGGAGTCTCCCCACCCAACCACTGCCCTGTCCACACCTCCGTAGAGGAAAGGGAACCAGCCACCTCCGTGTGTAGGAACAGCGGTAGTGGTGTATGCTTCCCAAGTGCCCTCTCCCTGAATCCACCACACGATCCCCTCTACTACCCTAGGAAGTAGCTACTGTTGTTCTCCCCCATTGTAAAGATGAGAACACTGAGGCACAGACAGGTTAAGGACCTTGTTAGTTGCATAGCTACAAAGTGACTGAGCTAGGATTGGACTGGGGAGTCTGGCTCTGTACTTGGCCCTCTCGTAAGGGTTGCTCTAAGCACAGAGAGGCTGAGCAACCTATGAAAGGCCACACAGCACAAAGTACTGAGTTCTGAGGCCTTTCCAAGTCTGGTTTCTCCTAACCTGGACCCACACTGGGCTGACACATCGGCTGTGCCGGTCAGAGAAGGGGGAGGAGGGCTCTGTCTCGTGGGCAAGAAGAGCAAGAAGAACAAAGAGTGGGACCTGGTGGATGCTGATGTTTGAAACTGGCGCTGTCCAGCAGACACAGCAAGGCCAGCTTCCAGATGTCAGAGCCTGCTTTATCCTTCCTCACGTGCATCCCACACACCTGGCTACGCGTTCATGTCACCGAGGAGATTTCAAAATGTCCCTGTCCCGGTCCCAGTGCATCCCAGTTAAACCAGGGTCTGGAGGAAGAAGGAGGAGGAGAGGGGCATATGTGTTGAAGTCCTACTTGGTGCCACAGTTTCAAATACATTTTCTCCCTTGATCATCCCAAGAACACCAGGAGCTAGACCGGGACTGCACTTTGCAGTCAGCTTGGAAAATTCTTAAAACACCGATCCCTGGGTCCCACCCTCTAGGCATCCCGATTTCATTCAGATGAGGCAGGGCCAGAGCGGTGAGATTTTTAAATCTCTCCCCGTGATGCCGGTGTGGAGCCGAGCATGAGAAGCATTTGAGGAAGAGGAAAACATCCCTGACTCGTGCTGCTATCACTTGCAGGCCTCGGTGTCCCCACTGGAGACCAACAGCCGTAAAGAGCCTTGGCATCAGGCAAGGTGACTCTGTGACCTTGAGTGATCAAGACAAACCAAGACCCCTCGGTCGTGAGGTCAGAGCCCTGATGACACAGGAACTTTGTCCAAAACACAAAAGTGACCCAGCATCTCTCTATCCTGGCTCACATGAGGGACTGCTGTTTCCAAGGCCAGCTAGAGCTCTGGCCTTGGACAAGGCCCCGATATTTATGAAGATACCCAGTGAGAGTCTCACCGCCAGCATCTGATCCAGAACAAAGCCCCAGTTCCTTAAACGTTCCTTAAAGTGACCCACCACCCTCCCATGCTAGGCCCTCTCCAACACTCTCATAGGGAGATGTTCTCCACCGCCTATGGGCGCGTTCTCCCTCCCTGCGAGGAGCCGCGAACATGCTGATCCAGCAGGCGTGCTCCTGCTGGCTCCTTCTGGAGGGCATCGGCTCACTGAGCTCAGTCACATCACGGATGTGGTACAGCTGAGAAAACTGCATCGTGGTGAGCACAGGCATCTGAGCAAGGTCTCAGCGACTGGCAGAGCTCACACAGAGCCCTGGACCTCCGACCCAGGCTGAATCCACTCTCAGCAGCTCAGCCCCGCCGGCCTGGGTCAGAGGATGGTGCAGAGAGCTTGCTGCCCTCTGTCTTGCCCTCCACCCTGCCCTCCGCCCTACCACTTAGGGAGATGGACTGCAGAGCCCAGCCTCGGTCCCCTTCTTATGTCAGCTCTTCTGGGGGAGTTGCTGCTTGAGCTCTCCAGTGCCTGTTGGGCTGAGGGACACTCCAGGGGCCATCAAAGCCATCTGAGAGCTGATGACACCCCAGGGCCACATCAGTAAAAATGATCTGGAGGCCCAGAGCCCAGAGGGACATTCCAGAGCATGACCAAGAGGCATCAGTCCCCCCTGGGCAGAAAACCCTGCCCTGGTCCTGGTTCTGCCACTCACAAGCTGTGTGACTTCTGGTGGGTCCCAAACAGCTCTGAGCCCAGGTCCTCATCTGCAGAATGGGAAATACCTGCCTTGTTTGCATTGTGTCTTCAAGTTGAAGAGAGGACAGAGAACTGCCCTAAGAGAGGACTGCAAGTCAATAGGGTGTCATCTTTATTGCTCCTGTGGCCCAGAGCTAACAGGCCAGCAGAGTCTGAACTCCATCCGTTCTAAAGAGTCAGAAACTCCTTCGCTTTCTGCTGCAGACAGGGCAGCCTGGGGTCTGACAAGCTTACAGAAGACCCCCTCATTATTTTTGTCAGCTACTCTTTTTTCAAAAGTTTTGGGTGACAGTCACCAGGATGCATCTATCTTACAGATGGCCAAGTCACATATGCAAAGACACACAGATAAGCATCATCGTATTTATAGACAAACACAGATGGACACACCCAGTCACGTACAAACACACTGACAGACAGTCCCACACCCAGGATGTGAAAGCAAATCAGTCCGGGATGTTTTCTGTCTTCCCAGCTGCGTTCCCAGCTCCCTGAACAGGTACATTTGTCGAATGAACAAATGAGAGAAGGAGCGAATGAATGAATGAATGAATGAGCAGGTGGGCAGGTGGAGGCAGATGAGGGGTGGATGGAAGCATGTGTCGTTTGTACACGCACACCCAGACACCTTCTACAGCCCTCCGATCCTGCGGGCCCCGCAGCCACCCCTCTGCCACACTCCCCTTCCGAAGACTGGCTCATCTCTCTCTCCCGGTGCCCCAGGCACCGCGGCAGGTCCCCCGAGGAAGGGCGGAAGTCCCGCCGAAGGCACTCCCGCCGCTGCTCCAGGACCCTCGGCAAGGCCAGCCCCGAGGCCCGCTCCAGCCACCCGCCCAGCCAGCCCCTCCAGATGCTCGGCCTCCTGTCGGCCAGGGGTGTAGTAAGTATTCCACACGGCCTTCTCGGCCAGCCTCGGCCGTGACACTTGGTGGGGAGGTGGAGACACAAGTTCAGGGCAGTGTACGGCACATTTTAACTCAGTTTTGGGCAAACACCCCACTGGCTTTCGGGCCTCCTTATTGATCAACCAGGTGGTCATTCCCCAGCCTCTGGCAGCACTCGGTTGGGGGGAGGAGGCAAAACGAAAGTGCCCAGGCTTTCTATCGGGGAGCGCTGAAAATACACGCTGGTCTCCAGAGTGACCCTGGCAGGAGTGCATGTGTGAGACCCCGCAGGAGGAAGGAAGAGAGGGGGCTTTGATGTGGCGGAGGCATTCCAGCTTTCCCGTGAAGTCTGCAGCCCAGGTGCCCGCCAGTCTGCAGCGCTGATTCGCTGCTGGGACTTGATTTCACCCAGATAAACACGGCCTGGAATGTGTATGAGCATTTGCCTTCAAGGAGCTCATAGCACTTGAGCTGTGTCCTCTCCTGTGTCCGCACGAGGTCTCAGGGCATTGAGGGCATGGCTGCTCTCCCTGGTCCCTTCCAACAGATGGGACGGAAAAACCAAGACTCAGAGAGGTTACGAATCCGATTTAGCAGCCCCGCATTGAATGGCATCACGTGACGCTCCCTCAGGTCCACAAGGAGGAGCCGGAATGTAATTTCAGACAGTCTGATGCTGGGAACTTACCTGAGCGAGGGATTCAGGGTTGGAGCTGAACTCGGGTCCTGGCTTTGCTACTCCCTGGTCACGTGGCTTCAGGAAAGTCCCTTCCCTCCTTCGAAATTCAGTATTCTCATTGGCAAATTTGCAATAATACCACTTTCATGTGGGATGGTTGGGGACAGCCAATAAGACGAAGTACGCGAAGACCTTTTGTTGATGCTCAAGGGACAGATACACAAATGGGAAGAGATACAATGTTGACAGTTGCAGCTGGCAGGGACCCGTCTTCTCTAGCTATGAGTGAATCTGAGAATTTCAGTGGAGGTGGAAGTGAGGAGAAGCTCGGGGTGCTTGCAGGAAGGTCAAGGAAGGGAAGGCGATGATATACACTAGTTGGGCCTGGTTGACACAAGTTACCACCTGCAGTGCATTTTGGGTAACTCTTCTTTACTATTCGAGGCACCCTGTGCCACCAAGGTCTCATTTTGCCCCAATCCTCTGCCTAGCTGGAACCATCCACAATGTCTTCAGGCCCCCCTTTGTAGAGGTGTCTTGTGGTTACTAAGTATTTTGAAGATGGAAAATGTCAACCTGCCTTTCCCTCTCCACGGATGTCCTATAAAAGGTCTTTCCAGCATGGCAGAGTCTGGAGGCCCAGGGAGTCTTGGCTTGGCTGGACAATTCCTTCTACCCCTCCCGGCCTCAACTTCCTCACCTGGAAAATGGGTTTGATGATCTCATTTATCTCCCAGGGAAATTGTTGCAGAGGTAGAAACTGATGCAAAAATGCCTGTCAGAGGTAGAAGAAGTGAGTCAAAATCACCCAGTCTTTCTGGTCTTGGTGTTTGTGGCGGCCGATCTGGTGGCCCCCACTGACCCTCATTAAAAAGTACCATTGGGAGCAGCTGGCTTGTTTGATCACCTGCCCAGGATGGTTTCCTAACAGCCTGGGTCTATCAAGATGTTGCAAAAGGCTGGATGTTCCTAAAAAAAAAAAAAAAAAAAAAAAAAAAAAGTGGGGTCCTCCCACACCAGCTGGTGAGGAAAAAGATTGGCTGTTGGTTCTTGAAGCCTCAGTGTCTCCCACGGACCCAGTCCCTTTCAGAAGAGCTGAAAGCTCACCTACACTTAGAAGGGGCAGACATTAAGAGCTCACCTAGCTCAATGCCTTGGTTCCAAGAAGAGACTGAAAACCTGAGACTCAGAGAAGAGAAATGACTTCCATGGGCGACGGCAAGTCCAAGTCATTCAAAACATGGGGCTATGATGATGCCGTCAGATCGTGGCTCTGAGCTGCGGAGAGTTACTTAAACCTTTTTGAGTTCCTGTGTCCTCATCTGTTAAAAAAAAAAATGCAGACAGTAAGTCTCTTTCTTCAAAAACCATGCTGTGTGGACAAAAGCAAAGTCCCATTGTAAACGGTTGAGCCCAGTGCTTGGCACAGGGGAAGAATTCAGCAAATATTTGTGAGTATTACGACTACAGCATCCTCGGCGCTGGCTCTACATTTACCAACCGTGGGACCATGAGCAAGTTCCATAAACTTTCTGTGCCTCAGTTTTCTCTGAACCTGCAAAACCAGGGGAGCAATGAGACCTGCCTTGTAGGCGGTGTGGTATGGGCATTCAGTGACTTCATGTAAGTAAAGGTTTTAGATTGCAACACACAAGTGGAGAAACGCTACTTCCTGGTCACTGCTAAGAATAGCAGTGGCAGCAGTAAGAGTAACCATGGAAATAGCTTTGGGGCAGCGACAATGGTTAGCACACTAGTACTTGTGGCAGTAGTCCTAGTAATACTTGTATGGCTCCAGGCCCAGCCTGGTCTGTGCATGACTTGGGGCCAGAGCAAGGGCCCCTCACTTCCTGTGCTTTCAGCTTCCTCCATCCTAAAAAGCAGCTGGCTCGCCCCATCCCACTCATGGTTTTCTGACTTCTGGGGGCATCAGATACCCCCGAGCCTAGCCCTCCATGTGCCCTCCACATTAGACCCTTATTCCTCTTCTCTCCTGCAAAAGGCAGAGATGGACAAAGGTATCGGGTCGGACCCCAAGTTTTCTGAGAGTCCTGGCCCAGGATCTTCCCTTATGCCAACCACCGGGCTCAACAGCAGAGTCACTGCCCCAAAGAATCCATCCCATCACTCATTCAAATCTACCAGTTATCTCCCAAAACATCTATCTGAGGGTCAGATCTCAGGATCTGGTGAATAGAGAACAATCTGTGCCTATAAAAGACAATGCACAACAATTGAGCAGAGACACTGAGATGGGGTGGGAAGTGGCAGGCAGGGAAGGGATCCTAGGGTTAGTGTTAGGTTAGGGCAGAGAAGGCAACAACTCAGAAACTAGTGCTGAGCAAGAGTCAGCCAAAGGAAGCAAGAAACAAAGACTCGAGTTGGGGCTGGAAGCAGAATTCCAGGGCAAGAGTTGGGGGTCTGGGGATAAGCAGGAGCCTGACTGTGGGGGTCTTCTACGCCCTGGCTCCCGCCACACTCCACTGCAGGTATTTCCAATGTACCACTCTTTAAAAAATCAAGGACAGGCACATCACATCAAGGGGGCATATTTGCATAAATGAATATGCAAATTCAGGGTTGTGTCTTATTGAAATCCTAGTTGGTGAGCTAAAGATAACCTGAAGCCCTCTTGTTCAGTCAGAGCCCAAATCCAAATGGAGGGTCCCAAGGAGATGATTTAGGGACCCTTCACAGCCTCATTCATGTTCTTTATCTCCACTCAGCCATCTCTGTTCAAGGCATCAGGGGGACAGAGATGAATAAACGCTCCTCCCGAATTCCGGAGCTCAGTCTGGTAGTCAACAGACGGCTGCACTACAGTGAGATAAGTGTTGTAATTAGGGCTGAGATGGAGTCCGCGAGCACCAGCTCCTCCTTGGTTGTCAAATATTTAAAACCTTGTGTACTAGTTGGTTAATAGACCCTGTCACCACCCTATCCCCAAGTGCCCAGAGCCACCCCCTTCCCTCCCCTGGTACCTCAGGACCTCCTCACAGTTTGGCAACTAGAGTGGTACGGGACCGCCATCAGTACCAAGGGCAGCTACCTTTGGATGAGGCAGTGTCCCCACCCCATCAGCTGCCGGATATCCAGACTACGAACCCTGGTGGCGATGGAAGTAAATACAATGCGGAGCAGGACCATGGAGGAAGGCCAAGACAATGTTGTCTTGGTGCCTGAGAGGGCTCTACAAATAAGGGAACACTTGAGCTAGGCTTTGAAGGATGGGTTTGCCAGATTGAGATGACTCATGCATACAGGGAAGGGAGATACCTCTGTGTACCAGGCACTTTTGTTAGAATGAAGGTGATGCAACTTTAGAAACCATCCCATGCTTTACACAGTTGTTGCTGCTGATGCCATTTTATGCACAAAGCCATTCTCTGAGATAGACGCAATTATTACCACCATTTTTCAGACAGAGAAACGGGCTCACAGAGCTGAAGTGACTTTGGTAGGTGGCTCAGTTGGGAGGAAGGGGAACTGATATGAATCGTGGCTTGTGTCTCAGAAGCTTACTCTGATAACCACAGGGCCAATTAGATGACAGAGATGTTGGTGGCACCAAGGTTTGGCCAAGCCCTTTCCCTGTTGGCATGGGGCACTCTGTCAAGTCTGCCCTCCCTGGAGAGGGAATCTGGAAGAGGGCCGATGACGATGGAAGCTGGACCAAGTTGAGAAGCACAGACGCCTTTTCTCCTCCTTCTACCTCCAACTTGGGCCAAAAAGTTGCCATGTATTCTTTGCCAACAAAAACCTGCAGATGCCATGACAAGAACAGGAAGAAGGGGAGGAAGAAGAAGAGAAAGAAGAGGAAGGAGGAGGAGGAAGAGAGGAGGAAGAAGAGGAAGAGGAAGGAGAGGAACAAGAACAAGAAGGAGAGCATAAAACCTGAGGTCCAAAAAGATTTCCTTGTGAAATCTGTCAACAAGAGGCAGTAGAGTGCAGTGATGAAGTCATGGGCTTTGGGGCCGATCTGTAGACTCTGAGGTTCTTGATGTTTTCTCCCTGGTCAACCCTGGTTAACAACCACCAGTGCCAACTGAGCACCTACTATGTGCCAGATGCGAGGCTGAATTCTTCCTATGCTCCCCCTCATCTGTTTCTTATAATAGCCCTTCAAGGGAGCTTCCACTAATATGCTCATTTTACTGGGCACCTAGAACATGGCGGCCATGTCCTATGGCCTGGAACAATTCCGTGACGAGCACCTAAGTGAAATGGAGAAGTTAGGATCCAAACCCAGAAAGTCTGCCCCCAGAGTCCATGTGCTTAATGACATGACTCCCCTTGTGTCATTTCACTTCCCTGGGC